GTTAATCTTTCATGGCATACCAGCGAACCTTCTATAAAGCAAGTCACAAGGAAGAAGTGAGCGTAACCAAACAAGAAACCTTATCAGAAAGACTATTCTAATATAACAACAGTAACGCTACATAGATCGGGTTACCGCTTAGCCCAGATTTATTACCTTCGATCCATATTTGACATGTCCCAGCGAACAGTACACCGTTTTTAATCTAAGCTGATCTGTGATCAGGCCAGTCAAGAAGAGTTCTCTAATGTGATGGAATGGTCTCTCAGCCGTGTCTGTTACATCAGTCGCCTGGAAGTTGACCTGGATCGGAAGCACAAGATATTTCACCTGTCCTGTTTACCCTTGTGAGGAAAACCAACAACTCGCAGATGCAGACTACATTTTTATTGCAGATCCAAAGGGACTTGTTTTCTCGAGAAAAAATTCCATGCCGTTACAACTGTCCCCTGCTGGAGCGGTTATCCTGGAAGATCTTCTCGTTGGAAGCAATTAATCATTGTTCAGCGTTGTCTCCATTCAAAGCACACTTTTAGGGACGATATTAGACAGATGGGTTTCCTCTTCCATCCGTGTCCTATCTTGAGGTGAAATCTTTTTCTCAGTTTAGTCAGACATACCAAAAGAATGGCTATTACACTTTCGTAACGGTTTTCCTTGGTACAGTCAAATTCACGGTTCAAACCGTATATTCCCATGCAGATCAACCCTACATCCAATCAGTTCAGTAGCAGCGAGCTATTTCCGGTTCTTGTTACAATGTCCTGACCATACAGTTAGGTGATAACTGGTTAGGCTTGGTCAACACCGAACCGTTCCCCATAGTTTATGCCGGTTACCGATTAAAAAAAGCGATCGATGAAGCAGATCAGTTAGTAGAACAGGCCTCAAGCCAAATGACAGTCAGTGACTCGAAACAGCTCATATGGTACTGCGAGGTCCAAAACTGTAAATTCCTCCTGCCTCCATCACCATCATCGTCATCATAACCAGAGATGTCGAAATCAGTGTTGACAATGGCGCTTCACTGCTTAACAGCTATAGTTTGTTTACTTATAATTGAAAAGTTGAAGTGAAAAGAGGCAAGCACAACGGAGGGGGACCGCACAGTCCCGAAAGGCGAAACGCGCCAACAGCTTTCACAGTCAATCATACGTTGTCCACCTTGCTCTTTACTCCATTTTGAAGAAGACACTGGGTACAAAACTCGTCCCTGTTGACGGTGTTTTGGCCTTCGTATCACATGGACGAGTCACCGCGACTGAGGATGCAGGGTATCTTACATGGCTGAAGTTCTTGCCACCCAATCAAATACCCATCTTCTGATTGTCTGGTTACGAACCCTTTGGCGCCATCCGACACCAGCGACACCGGTAGCGAAAGTCTTAAGACGTCTCACATCATCTGTCCACAGAGGCTATATCTCGCAACTATTCAACAACACAACCCACAGTCAAGCGCACGCCACCCTTGAGAAGCAGTGATATACCTTTTTGAAACAATACAGATTGACAAATGTGACTCGGGTCTTTGTGGTTTGTGTACAGACTTCCGCCAGAGCCGCCAAGGGGTGCAAGTTTCTCCTCAATCTTTACTGCCGCTCCTTGAATTGCAAGGGGCGTGTTCGGAGACTGTACGTTCCAAAGTGTGAATTTAAACTTTGTAGGTCCAGGAACCATGCTCATTACTGGCATGATGCTATGATAAAACCAAGTTTTGTAGGGAAGCTTCAGGAAAGCCGGGTTACGTTCAAAACTTCTGCGGCATCCCCTACTGAACAAGTATAGTTAGGTGCAATGATCGGTTGACAGAGCACAACGCCCTCTGATAGTCAATGAACACCAATATTGTGGGTCGCTTGTACATTACATTGCACAATCACCTCAAGGGGTGTGAGGATGTGCTCGACGCTGCCTGTACCCAGTGAAAATCCCGTTCGATGCTCAAGGGTCAAGGATTCACGTGCGATAAAGAATGAGGGATGCCAGAAGCCTTGTTACAAAGAGGGTCACACTGACACCTCTGTGGTTTCTACATTCCCTAAGAGCACCCTTCTTTAAAAATAGGCACTACTATCAACTCAACTCTTGGCGGTCTGGGGTGTTCTCTTTCTCTCAGGTAAGCGCAAATGGGATAGCTGCATACCTATAGAGAACTTCATTGCCAATCTCGAACAAGGCAGGTGTAAGGTCACCTGGAGGAGCGACGGCATGATTCTTGGGTGGAGATCTGCACTTTTGAGGATGAAGGCGGTTCCATAGTTAGAGTATACCTTTCTCTTGAACGTGGGTATTCCGTATTCGAGGTTCCAGGTGGCCAACTCAATTGCGCCCAATGATGCAAACGTTCTCCTCCGTTGGATATTAAAGGGTCATCTTGCTCCGAACAAAAATGCCATCTTGAGTCAGTTACAGATTAAATTCTGATTCACCTACAGTACCGCTAGTACAACCAAAACTGGCGACCGGGTTTCATTTCTGAGTTGTTAAAAAACCTCAGGGAAACTTTTATGAGACTTTTCATGGCAGTAAAGTCCAAAAGAACAAGACATGTTGGAGCCGAGGCAAATGTTCACTCAAATCCAAAAGCTGTATGAAGCTATATCTGTGTTCACCATCGATTTGGATTGCGTAGGAATCCTTTGATATACACGACCATGGTTAGTAATCGTAGGTTGGAACACAGTAAATGGAATGTCCGTTCTCAATGGCCAACAGTAGCCTATGCGGTCCTTACCTTTATGATTCCTAATTCACTTCGTTCTCGTTGACCTTTTGATACTAATCCGGTAAGATCTGTGTGATGAATAAACGGTCTAATATGACTTCCGGTGAACAAGGCATTTGATGTTGTGTTCGGCATCGTTATTGATGAACATAGTAGGTAAAACTATCCAAATACTGCATGTTGTGACCTCTAGAATATTTGTCATAAATCAAAAATCTGCCCACTCAAGTTTCACGACTCTAAGAGTATTTCTTCAACATGGTACCCAAATCAACTGATCCGCCTGCATGCAAGGTGCCTAAATGAAAGCATTTCTCTGGCCACTCAAGAACTGATATGCTACAGTGTAATCATTTTGCTTTTTGGAAGATTATTGTAGCGCATTGAACAACCAAAGCAATACTCGAAATGCTCTCTCGTTTGCACAGTAATTTGATTTTAACGGAAGAATCAACTGAATCCGCCTGAAACTCTCATTTATATTATGGTCGGATTCATTTGTGGGCTGCCGAACTATTTCCAGCAACCTTAGTAGCAGTGATTTACGAGGGAAATACTTTTTGTTTTGGAATGTTTGAAAATTCAGTTGTGTAAGTTATTATTGGTGCCCTAGTCAGGCAACAACCATACTTTTGCTCTAGCTGCTAGTCAAGTTTCATTCCGAAGATGATATAACAGTGTTATATCTCGGTAACGCACTACTCGTAAGGTTGCTGAATACTCTTCGACAGCCCATGATCGGTTTCGCCCTTCTTGGGGTAGGCGCAGTCCCCGAGTTTCCGTCAACCTTATGTTCTACTTGAAAACAAATTGCACGAAGTTAGCGAAATACACTCATTTGCAAATAAATTTGGTTTTTTGAGAGACTCACCTGGAACCCAGCTGAATCTTTCGGTTGTGTTTCCAGTGTCATATCTCTTCTTAGTATTCAGAAGTGTGAATGCATTCCGTTTTATGGTCCATGTTTATATTTGTTACTCCTTAAAGTAAGGGTTTACGTGGATCAGCAATCCGAAAATCTTTTCCCTCAACTATGTATACCTGTCGCCATCGTCTCCTTCCTCTTATATGCGTTATGGAAGTACCGCGACCACCCCATCTCCTCAACAGAGGTCCCGGAGAAGAGGTCATCCTCTGAAGACCGTGTAACGATATTCCCTAGTGAACATGAACCACCGTGTGATTCTCCCTGACACTGATCCCACCCATTGGAAGTCTTGCACACCCACTTCTGATTAGGAACCAGTTTGATTGGTCGCCCAACCTTAATTGATACTTCATGTCCCGAGCTGCCACTTTGGAATTCAGAGCAAATTTAACCCCAGTTGGACGATTTTTTTAGTGTTTCCTCACCTTGATTTGTTTCCGAATTTTTGGGAACAGTGCACATTTATTTTAAGCAAAATTTAGCCTCGCTTAATAGCCGGTTGGACGTGGACACGCTCTTCTTTCATAGGAAAGTGGGAACAGCAAGGAGATAGCCCGCTTCATACTAGGAATTCCTTAACAGCTCGTTCTGGCTTCAGACGAGTTTATCTGAGCCTAAAGTGCAGTTGTAGCACTTGTAGACTACTCTTTTTCATACTCAATATCATCTTCCTTTTCCCCATCAACATCAGTCGCATCACTGTTTGTTTTACTGAAATACAACCGCAACCGCCCACTTTTTGGGTCCAACGTGACTTTGAGAGTTTTGCTGAGTGACTGTTGTTGTGACTGCCGGTTGGCTATAATTAGCTGCTACTAACTCTAAACGTGAACAAAAATTTTAGCTACAAACACTGGACCAATATATTCACACTTGTGGATTAATATTGTGATCTCCGAAGATTTGGAATACCAGGAATATAGAACTTTTCTTGGTGCGGTGGTTCAACAGAATACGGAACTATGGAATCTCCTATTTTGAACTGTGAGTCAAGATTTACTTGGATTTTCTCCTTGTGACTTTGTATCTGGCTTACATTAGTGATTTGTTCTGTTCACTAGAGACTCCATAGGGCCATTAACCACTACACATTGATCAAGTGGCATTCCGAGCACTCAAGTCGGAATTAGGTTTCAAGTTTATGGATAGGTTGCTACCTAGATAGCACAATACCCGCAGCCTATGGTGTTGCCGTGGTCAACACTAGAATGTCAGAACTATCAACCCCAATGTGACCGTGCAACTTTCGGGGCTACCAAACCAATCATATGAACGTATGAGCAACTTGCCCCCCATATATGGATACGAATCAAGTTTTCCTGGTGAGGGAATATGAACGGTAGTGTCACATCTTACTTTTGATTAGGTCGGATATGTCATATTGGCCACTTGTTACAGATTCATTATGACTATTTCCCAGTGTTCTAGTTGCTACGCTGCTTATTTTCTCGGATAGAAGAACGGCAACCGGCTAAGAATCTAGTGCTTGCATGTGTGAGCGAGATTGAAAAGCATGTTGGTAAACAGGGCACAACACAGTAAATCAGTAATTCACCATCGATAAAGTCGAGCATTGTTATAACCAGGGTTGGCAAGACGAACGATGTCACACTGAATGAACAGATAAAGGCAAACAATACTCAAAAACGGGCGCGTGAGTAACCATCCACTGCGCCCGGTAAGATCGCTAGATACAAGGGCGACCCCCTCGTGAGCACCACTTAGCACTTCTCCATTTTTTTTTTTGAAAAAGATGGGTAACACCCTATCAAGGTCAGAGTCCTGGAGATTATCCCAGATTATATGAAATCTACTGAGACCCTCAAACTCCACTAAAATCCTATCAGACAGCCTTGGATCAATCAGACAGTAACCCCTGAATATACACCGCGACGCCGTTGTACTTTTCGCACTCACTCGCCTTTTCGCAATGAGGCTGTTGTGTTCTTTGTCAGAGAGTCTTTCTCCTGCGGTAGGCACCGGAGCAGGGACAGCAATAAGTTACGGAATCTTGGCAAAGCCCTAACCCAGGAAATCATGACAATAACTGCTGAAGCGTTGAAGGAAATTAATCTCCCGTCCATGATACTCATCAAATGAATGTGCAGCACGAAGGCCGCCTTAGTTTCAGTTTTTATGGTATTCGAGATATTGTAGTACCTTTTCTAGAAAGAACACACCACTGCTGTCGGGGAGATTTCAGCAATCTTCAGAGTAGTTTCCTTCATGACCGAGCCTCGCCATGTTGCACACATGGGGTGACTCAACCAGAATAAGACTAACTGACGGTGAATCAATTGGGCCCGAACTTAGTAACATTGTTCAGATAGTTGATAAAAGTCAGACCGAAAAGCCACGAGAGGTTGCCGATCCAAAACTGGTTTGCAGATATAAATTTTGATTTTCCCCAACAGGTTGTTTTAGACATAAAGACAAACTCAGTGACAACTAGTTTTAAATGGATGATAGCTCATTCTTCCTCAACCACTGACAAAATGACGTTAGTATTTCTACTCTCCTATAAATTATTAGGAACCTATAATCTTCATGTTGTAGCAAAACGACTCGATGTAAACACGACTGACTTGGCATGGAATGGTACAGTGCTAGCTAAAGGTAAACTGTCATGACTACGGTTGTCTTCTAACTCCATGACCTATACTTAACTGGGGTAGTCCATAAACTTGAATCTAATTCTGACTGTTGGTACGAAATTGATAATTAATACTCACCACAGTTAACTGTAAAGCCTTCCGTCCACGCCAGTGTACTCTAAGCATCTCCTTCTGGTTCATTCGAGTCCCTGTTTTCTAATCTGTTGTGTCAGCCGGCTCTACGTGGCTTAATATAAGAACACCTTGGAGGGTCACGCTGATCACCTCGAAGTCAAAGTTGATCTCGTTGATTCTGTGGTACAGAAAGGGGTTTAAGCCTATGTAAGGCTGCGGTGTTTTAAGATCTGTTGGGTACGTGAAATTATGGGATAGATTTTGACGCGTACGGTAAGGTACAGTTGTCCCCGTCCAAAAGGATTATCATTTTTGACACCACTATCGGAAATTCGAAGACTCTGACAAACCCAATCCTCAAATCAGAACCTTGGCCAAATGTGCAGGCAACCTTTGATCGAATTCCATTTCAGAGAATGTACTTTGCTTGTCGTTTTCACCCGTCGCTTCCTGCAGTGAAAGAAGTCCTACAGGTTTGTCGCACTCTCGGCCTTGTTATTGCGGTGAAGGTCAGTGGTAGTGTAGGCTTTGTATTGCAGTCCCTCGCCAGCTACCATGACAACAAACCAATGCGTTCGAAGTGAAGTCATGTGGCATTGGCGAAATCTCACCCAGCCCAGCGATGGACGAGGACAACTACAAAGTTTGCAACCACGAATGGTATGGCTCAATGGTAAGCATACATAATGATGTCATAGCAACCAGGCATTGTGTGTATATGAACAAAATTTGAGCATTAAAGACAACGCATCGCAGCAAAAGTGGCGGTCGGACAGGTCGGTATTTCAGATGTCAGATGTGGTGTTAATGTGAAACATTTAGGGTAATGGAAGCCTTGCATAAAACCCCTGAGGTTAAATGAAGATACAGTTTCCCCAGCCACTGAGTTCATAAGCTATAAAATGGCTGCGACATCAGATGGCTTTTGTCGCAAATGAGATAAAGCAACATAGGATTTCGGTCCGTCAGCCCATTTCGCTACCCTAATATGGTCACCCTATTGGGTACCACGCATTTTAGTTTTTTTCTTAAACTCACACGACCGTGAAACACTCGTCCTTTCTCTGTGCTCCAAACTTTACGAGATCTTCAGTTGTTCAAAATTTAGTCCAGCCAGTCGTACGCGTGGCTCATCGTTCACTATGTCCTCTGAATATCGAGTTGTTTGGTTGTGGTAGTTTGTTATATTTGATCACCCTCACAAGAGTGCACTGACTATGAATTCCCTCTTCTCCGTGCCTCCTTCAGAATGCCGCAAACCTCGAGCTGAAAAGAACATGACTTGACAGAAAGGCGTGAAAGAGATCACGAAGAGTTTGGGTGTTTTTGGTGTTGTGCGCCTTCCAGGATCGGGTCCCCGTGACCCCGTCTGTGCTTGGATGGAGACGTTGCAAAAAATGGCGGCTAATCAATAACAGTGGCATTCGTGCTGTCGGTTCCTTTTCAGATTGTCTGGTTGAGCGGGTGGAGGTGTAGGCACCCCATAATGCTTGACATATGCCGACAGTAGGTCCCCTCCCTCACCCACTCTTTTTTTTTCCCTCACCCACTCTTTTTCTCTTCTTTTACCCTGGAACTTCTAATATATATATATATATATAATTAGGCGAACCTTATGGTTCTACATCAGTGAAGCCTCAATATCAATCTGATGTCGCTGTCTTTGATGATGATGACGAATTCCCCCTCTCCTGGTAATCCATTACCTCCAGCTAAACATCTAGGACAGTAAGCTTTCATCATTTCTATATAGCTACATTACCCCTTGGTGATCTGTCATTCATACAGCGTCCCGCTGTTGTGTACGACATTTTCACGCGTCAGTCAGATGCACCAATTAGTGGCACTACTAAGGCACGCGCTTCCAATCCTTTTGTTAACAGTCTCAAAAGTTCCACGTTCATTGCCCACATGGCTTATTGGAGTTTAGTTTGGTTCCAAGCCAACGGCCGTTTTCTAACGTAACACTTATTCAGAGCACGAAAAAAGGTTGCAGGCTCAAAGATATAAGAAGAGGACGTCGCAGTCCCCACTTGAATTCATTCCGTTCATTTGTAAGACGACGAAAAAACCCACTCATTTGTCACCGGTAAACGGTAGTTTTTTCTTTAGAAAAGCTAGTCAGGATGCCTATTTAAATCCTGTGTACTTTTTCAAACAGAAATGCGAGAATAACCCTGCACCTGAAAGAAAGTTAGCCCCTGGATAGAGTTGTGTTCCTTCGTGATGACCACTCTGCGGGCCAATCGCATCCAGTCGATCAGCCTGGGTATGTACTTGCTTAGGAAACAGCGTACGTATCAATCTCACCAAACTGGCGGTCCATCATCCCAGGGCCACATTTAGTAACGCTCGTAAAACGGTGTTCAGTCTGATTTCGGCCCGATATACTCTCGTACGACGAGAGTGAGTCCTCTCAATATGTTAGAACCTTACTTGTGGATTTTCTTCAAAAGAATGTGCCCCCATCAATAGACTTCAAAAATTGCCAGCCCGAACTATTGATTTTGGACTAAGGATAGACCGACAGCGTTGACTTTTTCTGTCGGCATGTGTGCACCTGGCGCAGTTCCGAGGAGGTCAAAATGAACTCATTCGTGAACAATACAGACCAGAGATACATTCTTCCCTTAAACCCCAGACATTTTGCATTCAAATGTTGACTTGGGCAGTAGACTGAAGGCGCGGTTGTTTAAATGTTGATCCAAAAGCGGCGCCTTTGTTCTTGTGACCCCGGACAAGCTGGTAAATGACAAATGTCTTAGAGGCAATTATATCTGGACCAAAGAGAAAGACGTTGCGGAGGTAAGTGTTTTGTTCAGTCGCCGCCGTCCCGCTCTGGAATGCACAAATAAATCGCTGTTACTAAAAAAAAATGGTTTACGAATTTCCGACTCATGTAGCAGTGTTTGGACCATGAAAATGACAACGTATGGGTCGATAAACCCCTAAATTTTTTTGAAGGGAATCCACTTAGTCATATTCGTAGTAGTCCGGGGTATAGTGTACAAGTTGGGGTCACAACGCAGCTCTAATTCTGCCCTGAGGGGATTTCAAATCGGAGCGGCCACCATGATGCGGTAAGAGATTTTAATAAGGCCGACAGCTCCTACCAGATTGCCGAGCTTTTGAGGAACAACTGCCATCTGAGTTCAGGGCTTTTGTGAGATTCACAAATTAGTCACATAGAGGCTGGTTGTGTTGTCGGTCAATTACTAACGGACGATGTTGAGTGGCCACATACATTTATTAGCTGACTTGTAAACCAGACGCTTACACCAGGTAAGACGAAATCCGAAGCCTTTGGAAAAACCTTTTTGTGAAAAAGTTTGCGGAAATACGACGACTCCTATGAGGGGCATTTCAACGAGCTGCAACCTCAACATGTATGGATTAATACTGCGCTTCATTCAACAATCACATGGTGCTAGTCTTGTCAGATTCTCTTGTTCCGTTATTCTAATGAGGAGAGAATCTGTCCATTTTTGTTGCAGCCAATGAAAAAGGACCAGTTCAACCGTTCGAAATGTTGTCAAAATTTACACATTTCGCGTGGTTCTGATTTAGATAACCTTGAGCTTATTGTTATGCGCACTATCGCATTCCCTGTGGCCCAAGACATCCAGAAAATGCAACCTCCACTCCTGCCTCCAGAGGTGTCCTATTGGATCTTCCTGGAATACTTTGATAGTCCTATCGCCAATTTACTCCACATATCTCGGATACACATCATTTTACAAATTTCATAATAATATATAACTCCAGTTTGATTAATAGCCGAGAAACGGGACTTCAGGAGTACCAGGGTCGTAGACCTAAAGCTCAACTCTGCGAAGAACATACAAGTTCTTCCCTTTATTGGTGGTCAAAACGGCATGAGCTCATATGCGTCTAATTTACCAAACCCGCATGTCCACTAACAACAACGACCCAAATGATCAGTCTATCCCTGGCTTCCAAATGCATAAAACACGAAAAGTACCTCTTTTAAAACGGCTTAGCAACCATCAAGCCTGTCTTCTTTACTGTGTGCAAGCATCCTTCATATTATTTGGCCTGCGTTGTTAAACTGACTTCCTTGTCAACCATAACAGGGAGTCACCGAGTTAATGTGCACAGCTTCACCGTTTAATTTTATCCTATCCAGTTAGCTATTTTCTCTACTTCTGCATCTGTCGGAGCCCGATTTCGAACATTGTTCTGTCCCAGGCTTTCGGTTACGATGTCCGACACCCCCCACTCCAACCGGTAACCACTCTGGCGTTTTACCTTAATTAGACGCGCAACGTTCTCCCACCCATTCACTTATCTGTCAGCCGGATAAACGAGCCCTCAGTAGATTATTGGCTTTAAAGGCCATCTCGAGCCGTCTCATACGTGTCGTGATGCGGGCAAACGATCCGGGTTTCTGAGGTCTGGCCCTTATTTTTGTTCTGTTCAATAAACTCAAGGACAACCAAGAAGGGGGTGCGTTTCCCACGGCTACGTGACATTACACTGATTAGTGAACATCATTAAGACTTTCTGTGATGCCCAATTCTGATTACTCGAAGTAGTTCTGAGCCACCTTACTGGTTTTGTACTGAGTCCAGATGAATGACCAATCTTGCTTTTCCATCATAGCGCAAGGACTGAGGCAGCACTATTAATGAACAGGGGCGTGATTATGACTGAATGATCATACTTAGGGATATCAACAACCCCCTTGTAGAAACCTTTGGTCACTACTTCAAACCGAACTACATGGGCGGCTGGAAGCCACTCTCAAAGGAAGCTATCGGTGTAAATACTCTACTGATGGGAATAATTTCATCACTCTGCTTATCTTAGTGATCATCTTTCAAAATGAAATGTGCTGGTAGAAGCCTAAAGTGACTGGGACAAGAAGTACAAAATCGGTCAATGTGCCATGCTGGATATCTGCAGGGTTGATATACCGGAACGTAAGAACAACAAAGCCATCCGAAATTCAATCAGTACATTCCAGTAATTCTCAGGAACAACATCAATATGTCCTATTGTCAAGAGTAACAGAACCGCCTCCAAGCTGCATTCACTCAGGTTCACAACCTCATCTGCCGTGAACACGTGCTAAGTAGCCTCAAGAAACTATGACACGTTCCATATGATCATTATCACCTTCACTGAAGTGAAAATCAAACATATGTATTGCGCATAAAAGGATGAGTCAAACAAAGCTATCATGACCTTGTACTCATAGGCTATATGAAAGCATACAATTGAACATATCAAGAAGCAGCATTCATATTTTATCCACTCGCGACTTTAGTGCCGTGGATGACATGCAGATGGTCCTGTATGCCTTAAGTGGTTAACTTTCATCATGCAACCACACACTAGCTCGTTCACACAGGAATCTGAATTAGTGATCAAGATAAAGGCAGATTTCGAACCATTCAAGTGACGCCCATTGTGCTCTCTGACTGATGCATCCAATACGCAATGTTTCCACTTTTCACACGTGACTGTTGGTCGCTCAGGTAGCGCAGACGCCCGACCTAGACTGTGCGCACTGACAATGTCAGTGCGAAAGTGACGTAGGGCATTGTTGACACACCTACGCATGCCTTCGCACCAAGGCCGGTCGAAGGGTCCGGCCCCAGAGTTCGGCTTCTTTAGACAAGCCTCGCTTCACTCGGCCAGCGAGGGAACGGAGGTTAGCATCCGATTACACAGCATGTCGGTCAGGCCCATTTTCTTCCACATCCAGTATCATGTCCAACAAATGTGTCATAAAAACCTGAGACAATGGCAAAATTCCAGACAGGGCTGAGCTACCAGAATTTTTGATAGGCAAGCGAATGGGTTATGGTACAAAATAAAATAACTAATGGACTATCCAATTAGGCCAGAGTAACACAGTTCCTTTCCGATAGAGTCAACCCATTCGAAAGGTGGGTTTCGGAACGAAAATTATGTTTTTCCATCAAAACCTATTCCAAAATATTCCCTGGCACATTGGCGATCGAATACACAGAATATACAGATGCAAAACTTGAACCATCACGATCTAACCACCTTTGACCGATGGACAGTCAGCCATACTAAAAGGATTCAATGAAATCGAGGGAATATGGTAGAAATGTTAAGTCATTTAGTATGAAACCATTCGCAAATAGCTTCGACGACAATAGCTTTATACCTACATTAGTCTTTGCGTTTACACAGTTCACTTGATTTGGTACCCAATGTGCTGTCCCAAACTCTAGTATTCATCCCAAAAACGACCACAGAATACGACTCAAATGGTTCTAAAAGGGCCGGCTCATCCAGAGGAGGGCCATACATATGGGTTGTACTAGCAAATAATGAAATATCTACTTCGATTTTTGATAATAGTATAATGAATCAGTGGAGTTATCGTGTGACTGACTGCCGGGGTTAGTCGGTAATACCCTGGAAGAAAACATTGATGGATACATCTCTAAATATCCGTTATCGCAAAGGGGACCAAAGACGCTCAGAAAAACTTAGCTATGTTCTCAGCACGCTCATAAAAGTGTTATCTTTGGAACAACTGGATCAATATAAAATCTCTCTATCTCTTTCTGAAGACAGGTTATCCCCTAGCAAAGACAAATTTCACCATCCTTCAGAATAGCCACTAAATGAAGACAATTGAGGGTATAGCGCCAAGCATTCAGGTCATGTCACGTGAGGTGGTACTGACTACCTCATCGAGTGACGAACCTTTAAATTGTGTCGAATGCAAGTAGAATATTGATGTGTGCAATCAGAAAGAAAACGGGTCACTCACGGCCAGACAGATAAATAGAGTGTTAACATCTGTCAGATCGCCCCTCAAGGTTAAGAACAACATGAGTTGTTAAGCCACCAACCTATGGTGTAGTGAATCTTAAGGGGAGTGAATAACCAGAAGCACAGCGGTCAAAAACGATCTGGCGAATCGTCTAGCGCATATGATTACTTACTTTGCTAAGTTACTCACCTAGCATCACTGTTGATCAGTTCAAAGGTGAGCAAGTGACAACTGACTTAGAAATGCAAAGTTCGAGGCGCGAGGTGAGACATGGCATGAGTCAGCACGCGTAAATGAATGTGTATGACTGTCCGTCTTTTATCCAATGACAACCTATTACTTATAGGGTAGCTGAGGACCTTTCAACAGCCAGTTATCTCTTTTGTTCATCTTAAGGATTATCAGGTAGGCATTATTCCCAAATTTTCATCAACCATCTGTTCTGCTTGAGTACCGGCTTTTAAACTTGTCAGGACACACTTACTTGGAAATTATACTGGTGTTAACGGAAAACTCACCTGGATGTGCTGAACAGAATTTTTAGTAAATCTGCAATTATCGTTATGTTTTTACATGAACAATCGATCTGGATGGATGTTACACATATTTCATTTTTACCAAAAAAATCTCCATTTCAGAACCATTGTCGTCGTAGGGTCACCACTTGGTCCTCTTCTGGTACACTCCTTTATGCGTACCTCCAATCCCCGTCATTACGTATATCACTCGAACAGTTCACACTTTACTGTGGAAACACAGACGACATTCTTGTGGTTCCACTACCCAATAAGGGTCCTTCAACCATGTTCATCCCATGATCCGCTTTACCCTGAAACTTCGTATTACTCTCCGTAACGTAAAGGGCAGGAGTATTCAGCTGATGATACAGAGGATAAAAACCCTGGTGGTTTAGTACACACACGTCTACAGTTTTGCCCCATAGAAAGAGACCTGTAACTCGTCACGACGTCGAACTGAATAGGTGAGGAAAATTTGAATCAGTAAGTATTCACCAAAAGGACGCCTCATGGTGAAAGCTACACAGCCATTGAAACTATGGTCGAATATATCCCCCATAGAGCAGAAAATTGAGTATATCGTTCTTCCTCTAAAAAGATTCGATTTTAGGGTTTTTTACAGGAAGATTGAGAAAAACTTTTTGATTTCACAAGTAAAACACTAATCTATGTTCGCATTTCAGTTCCATCCAAACCATCAGACATACTGCCAAAATCTACCATCAGGTTCTGGCTATGCTCATTCGTGTGCTCATGTAAAGCATTGTGTTTTGATCTCTTGATTGTGCGTCTGTTGACAGAATACGTGAAGGCAACCCTGTCTCACAACCCCATCTCTCACAGGACGAAGAATACTAGTTTGAACAGCACGCTTGGACGAGACAGGTGACCCCACGTTTCATTCCTAGTATTCTAACAGGTACATCTAAGTCGATCACGAACCGTCAGAATCTAACCAATATCGATTGCTAAGGTCACTAGAACTCGGCTATGCAACCTGGGGCTCTGTGTTCTTTAAAAGCTGATACGAACTTTAAATCTGCGTTTGCCTGCAAACAGTCTAGCCAAACTTTCAAATTTGACAGTGAATTGATCAGTTTCTATTGATTGATTGGCTCCCTCTACATGTAACTTAGAGTACAGTTGACCACTGATTATTTTTAAGTGAATCCGTAATGCATTCAGCCTGGGCATAATCACGGAAACCAAGCGTTCATTGCTACGCTTTTTGTTCTGATGATTTCCACAGATGCCTTATTTGCTTCACCAGATCAGCGTTCACCCTGGTCGTTAGAATTAAGACATTATAACCTTCAGTTGAAATTTATCCTTTTGTCTTCTGGCGATGAAGAGAGTTACCAGTGAAATCTTAACACTATGCTGGCGGATTTCTCAAAATAGGGTCTCACTTAGCAGACCACCACATCACGACCTGCAATATATCTGTTGTTCTTACGAAAAGATCGAAGTGGGACCCCAGATAAAGTTTTTTTTGGCTCACTTCAAACTACACCCCCTTTTGTGAGTGATTCACCATGACCT